GAGCACGAGACGAAATTAACTTATGAACGGATTGATGACCCTTAGGAATTTATTTACAGAAATTGGCTTAACCTGACTATGAGAACTCCCGTGAGAAATTGAGAGGTGTTTTGGAACATGTACAAGAAAATTGTCGTATTTAGCCATTTTTTAACATTTCGTTACTTGTATATAGACGTTTATTTCAAATTGCACACTTCTACTTCTTCCGAATCTGATTGGTCGCTGGAGGTAGTTTTGTTTTCGGCTGCTGTAGTTTAGAGTCACCAAATATTTGTTTACATGATAAAACTTCAACAACCTATCGAAAAACGGAAAAGCTTAACATGGTCATTACATTTATGAGTGCAGCACGACCGACCGAACAAACGACTAAACTCACGTTGATATCATGTACAATGGAAACATACATTATTGGCTTTGTTTGTTCTGTTTGTAGTTTGTAAGATGATTTTAATTTTTCGGTAGGATAACTGGTAATGCATATAATCATTGTAGAGGGAATTAATGTAGTGTCAGTGGATTTATCCCCTAAATTCAATTATTTATTTCGATTGCAAATTCTAGGGACTTGGAAGGAGTGAGAAGAATGCAACCGTCGTTTTCAAGAGGTGATGGGTTTATGCAACTTGTACTATTGACTTATTAATAATATTTTGGCGAACCGGCAGCTTGTATATTAAAGGTTCGACTGCCGGGTTCGAAGTGATGAAAATAACAAGGTTGATCCAGATTATAAGTATCTATATGTTGCACTTTCTTGTCATGTTGGTCGGTGTCGAAGATCAGAAAGCAGGCACCTAAGAATAGCACAGTGAGCAGTGGGAAGCATATATGCTTCATATTTAAGATCTAGGTGCGTAGGGTATCCATCCACTTTCAGATTTAAGCTGGAATTCGGACATTATAAAGTTGTCGAACCTATCATTACTAGACACAACCATGTGTTGACAAGAGAACTGCTGTTGTCTGTTGAACCGGAAGTTCAGAGACTGAGTGCTGAAGAGAAATCAAAATTATTACATCTTGTGGAAAGAAACGCAGCCCCCCTGCACAAGTTATAAATATGTTTGATGTTGAGTTTGGAAAGCTGAGGATTTAGGATGACCATCGGAATTTCTGATGACTAGTCTACCCTAGTGAGTTATCACATTGCGTTAACAGTCTGTATAGGAATTCGAGATATTGACACAATCCGTGAAATTCGTGATACAGGTTCGGTATGGTGTACGATGGACAGTCGACGACGTGTGGAGAAGTTTAGCTTCGCAACCAGGGAAATGCTATGCTTGTATAAGAAATTTCCAAAGGTTTTCAGCATGGATTCAACGTACAATACGAATAAAGAAAGGTAAGATTTGAATGTAAAACCAATCATTTGCAGTCATCCTCTATATCAATTGGTCGTTACAGATGGTCTCAACAGAAGTTTTCTGGTCATATGTACGTCATAACTCATCGTGAAAGACTTGTTGACTTTGAAGCAGTATTACAGTCCTTCAAGAATATCAAGGGTGATTGATACATCACAGACGGTCACGTTTGACAACAGTGCTGCGCAGCAATGTGCCATTCGTAATGAGTTCCCTGCCTGCTCTATTGTATTATGTGTGTTCCATGTCATCCGGGTGGGTCTTTAATAACAAAGTAAACGACGTTGCTAACAACCTAACATCCTTAAGTTGCGTGATCCTCAATGTAAAAGAAAATTTAAAGGGATGATGTACACTACCAATTACGACAGGTAGTTATGTTATTGTGTTAACACTTTATTAGGTTGAGTAACTTGATAATGTGAAAGAGGTTTCAGTATCCTGCAGCTATGTCATACATAAATAACAACTTATGGAGTTGCCGTATTATGTGGGCAGCCTGTTATGTGAGAGAGATTGTCACTCTTGGCAACAAAACCAATAACAGAGTCGAGTGCTACTATAAGCACCTGAAGACACATCTGAGCAAGTGCTTACCCTTGGAACTGAGTATTCGTGAGATTTGTAAGTGTTCTATTGAGTCATCGAGAAGGAAGGCTGGTGAAGGGAATCGCAATCTGCATTACTTCATTAAGTTTGCTGTAAGTCCTATAGTTGTAGCCTAAAATCTTTTTAGGTGGATGAAGGTCTTTCCAACATTCTGAGGCATCTAACTAGCTATGCCGCCTATTCACTTTACAAAAGCATCAAGAGGCTTCGTGAAATGAAAGTGACGGGTTGCACAGATGCATTTATGGTATTCGAAGGTGACAGAAACTCTGTTGTGGACAAACATGACTGCAGCTGCACATGTTTTCAAAACAGCAATATACTATCGCCATGCCATCATCTAGTTCATACTAAATGTCATATATATACCAGTCTGGGTAAGTTCATATGGGCCTCAAGTAAATTTGTAAAAGATGTATTTAGACATAGTACTAGGTGGTTACGAGACTACAATCACACTGTCATCCAATCACAACGGACACCATTGGGGGACTTGGACATGAAGATGCTCATACAAGGAATAATACATCAAATCAAAAACCTTGAACAGACGCATCCGAGGATATGTAGGAGTTCGTTGCTTCTTGTATACTATTATCTACAGGAGGATGATCAGGCATCTGTGTCATCATGCTCGGACTGATATACGTACATATTTTTGAAGATAACTGTAAATAAATTTTCCTCTAACAAATCTTATTTCTTGTTGATTCTAACTCACGGAAAATGTTGTTGAAACGGTTAAACGAATAGATGTTAAAGTACTAGCTTCAATCTCGGTGAACCGTGGGCATTCCTTTCCTATTATTACAACCGTAGTTGCACATATCGAGCAGTATAGGTACATTCTTCCCATCATGGTATTTTACGACAAGTAGAAATCACAAGCATACTATCCCAGGTAGATTTACTTTCACTTCGTGACTATGAATCCGAAATCATTTGATAGGTTCTACTAAGACGATAGATAATTCTAAACGCTTATAATCTCAATGTTTTCTTCTACATGTGGACGCAGTAACTTCGTTACTGTACGACATCGTCTTTTTATCAATAAGCCTCTCCGAATATCTAATTCACTTAGCATTTCTAAGGTCACATCATATAATCCGTACCTCACAACTTTCGCAAAGGCTAAAATCCAGTCTTATCAAGTAGAGTATACAAACGAATAACGAGGAATAGATTTATTAAGGAATGAATATGTAATACAAAATCAGTGACACTTCAGAAATCTTCGTGAAATTCCCGAAAGCAGAAAGAACATAAGAATTCTAAAGATGTAGACATTGTTACGACTGTAAATACAATATTTAACTACGTAACATTGTTAAAAATTACGAAATAATGAGTTAAATTGTATATAATTACGTCAATATTTTCCAATCAGACAAAATGGATATTGCATCTGCCTTGTAAACATCAAGTCTATGCCATAAAATAAGTAAATACTATGCGTATATCATTACCAAGTATTTCTGTAGATTTCCCTTAAAGAAATACATGTGGAGGAGTTTAGGCACCATCATCAAAAATACACAACAAAGTAAGTAAGTACGTATTTCAACTATTTGTAAACTGGCCGGATAAGGACACCAGCATTTGCTGGAAACACTTCATCCCATCGACTTTTATTAGGAATACAAGCGTGAAAGTATGTGAAACAACGAATGATTAGGCAAAGTTAAACTTTAAGCACCACTAAATACCAATCAGCGAATGACCTCAAAGAGCTTCGTGCGCAGGCGTTCCAACCTCCTGGGTGATACATCCTCTAGTTGAGGATTGTTACTGACCTGCTAGTTCCACTGTACCCATCGTTGGAGCTGACTGGCGTTAACTCGTTTCCGTTTGTGACATCTTCGGATGGTATATACTTGACTCCGTCTTTTTGTGATTGTGTACGGTCCTTCCCACTTTGGAAGGAGTTTCCGTGAACCTGGCCCGCATCCGAATGTATATCTTCTGTCTCTACACTTCACTTGGTCCCCGACTGCAAAGGTAATGCACTCAGTCTTTCCTTTCAGCTGAGACTTCGTGACATCACTCCGGTGCTTCTGCATCACATTTTTGACTGCTTCTTTCCGCTCTGCTTTTAATTTCGTCGTACTCCACTTTTGGTGAAGGGGCCAGGTCTCTTTGTGTATCGGTAATCTTGGTTTTCTGCCATGCATCAGTTGAAAGGGTGACTTCTTTGTGGTTTCCTGAGTGGTAGCACGATGTGTTAGTAAAATCAGTGGAAGCTCCGTTTCCCAGTTACCGCCCATCGAGGCCAGCCACTCCTTCAGTGTACAGTTGTTTCTCTTCGTTAGGCCATTTGTTTGTGGATGATATGGGGTCGTTTTGATCCTCTTAACGCCCAGCTGTTGCAAACGGGAAGTAAATTCTTCACTTTCGAAACAGGGACCTTGGTCTGTCAGTATTGTCTTTGGTACGCCGCGGTTTGTAACAATGTGTCTAACTACTGCATCTGTCATGGTCCTTGCACGTTGGTCTGGGATTGCTACGGCGTCTACCCATCGTGTTGCGTGTTCCGTCATCACCAAGAGGTACTGATTACCATTGGATGTCTGAGTAAATGGACCCATGACATCT